AATCGTTAGTCAAGTTAATTTTCCCCATAAGAAATAATGGAAATCAAATTAATCCGTGCAAGACACCCAAAAGTATTGAAAAAAAAAATTTAACACATGAAATATTAATTTTAATACACACAAACTGAAGAAGACATGCACAGTTACATGACACTTACCTTTATTGAAGATCTGGTGATGATTGATGGGATGGGAAGAGGGGAGTGTGTTGATGGTCTTAGTGTTTAGAAGGGGAATCCCCTTCCATTAGGACTTGAGGTGGCAAGTCCTTTTTCGGGGTTACTTCCCTTCTTCTTTTAATACCACTAGAACCAGCTTGAGAGTCACTGGACCTCTGTCGCACAACATATCTGCCCATAGAGGCCTGTACCTCCCGTTCCTTTATGACATTCCTAAAGTGTTTCACAACATTGTCAGTGTCACCATTAAACACTTGTTCAGGTTTCAGTCCTTCACTGTCTATGTACTCCTTGAATTCCTGCACATATTTTTCAGCTGCTTTTTGGTCCAAACTGGCAGCCTCACTATGCCTTATCACACTATGTATGCCACTACGATTCTTAAATCTCTCAAACCAACCTTTGCTGGCCTTAAATTCACTCACATCACCACTAGTTGCTGGCATTTTTCTAATTAAATCGTCATGCAACTTCCTAGCCTTTTCACATATGATCGCTTGAGAGATGCTATCTCCTGCTATCTGTTTTTCGTTTATCCATACCAATAACAGTCTCTCAACATCTTCTGTCACTTGCGATCTCAGTTTCAAAAACATAGTTGCACCTTTGGCAAGAACAGCTTCCTTGATTGCCGTTTTCTTGGCCACAATAGTAGCGATGGTTGATTGGGGTTTTGTGTACAGCCTGGCCAGCTTGGAGACATGCACTCCACTTTCATACTTAGCAATGATCTCTTTCTTCATATCCATAGTAATTCTCACCCTTTTTGCTGTAGGGTTGGCACTAGAAGCTTTCTTGGGGCCCATGGTAACTTATTTTGCAGGTGCAATCACTAAAAAGGCTGTGATAATATGAAATGTTCCGATAGTATGCTGGAAGCGACCGCGGTGGCTGGCTGGCTTGTAAACACTGGCCAGAAGTGGACGCGTCTCAGATGGAACGAATAGTGTTGGTCGAGTTTTTTAGCGCTAATCGAGGCAAAATTTTTGCGATAAAATGTATCGCTAGTCAGATTTATCGTTAATCGATGCCATCGCTGGTCAAGGGTCCACTGTACATTTATAGTCCCTCTTTTCCTGCCATAGCTTATCCTTCAACATTATTGCTACTCCTTCTTTAGCTCTAACTCTATTTGAAACCCCTGACCTAATCCCATTTATTCCTCTCCACTGAAACTCTCCCACCCTCTTCAGCTTTGTTTCACTTAAAGCCAGGACATCCAGTTTCTTCTCATTCATAACATCCACAATCATCTCTTTCTTATCATTTGCACAACATCCACGCACATTCAGACTTCCCACTTTGACAATTTTCTTCTTCTTATTCTTTTTAGTAATCTTTACAGGAAAAGGGGTTACTAGCCCATTGTTCCCGGCATTTTAGTTGACTTTTACAATACGCATGGCTTACGGAGGAAAGATTCTTATTCCACTTCCCCATGGATATAAAAGGAAAAGTAATAAGACCATGAACTATTCAGATAAAATCAAAGAAAACTCAGATGAGTGTGTATAAATTACGTATTGTTATTATTGTTATTATAATATATATGATTTGTAATTTTTATTCACTCAAAAATATAAGATTTACTGTTATGCCTTTTTTATTATTATTATTATTAACATGCTGGCCGATTCCCACCAAGGCAGGGTGGCCCAAAAAAGAAAAACTTTCACCATCATTCACTCCATCACTGTCTTGCCAGAAGGATGCTTTACACTACAGTTTTTAAACTGCAACATTAACACTCCTCCTTCAGAGTGCAGGCACTGTTCTTCCCATCTCCAGGACTAAAGTCCGGCCTGCCGGTTTCCCTGAATCCCTTCATAAATGTACTTTGCTCACACTCCAACAGCACGTCAAGTATTAAAAACCATTTGTCTCCATTCACTCCTATCAAACATGGTCTCGCATGCCTGCTAGAAGTCCAAGCCCCTCGCTCACAAAACCTCCTTTACCCCCTCCCTCCAACCTTTCCTAGGCCGACCCATACCCCGCCTTCCTTCCAATTTAGACTGATACACTCTTGAAATCATTCTGTTGCGCTCCATTCTCTCTACATGTCCGAACCACCTCAACACCCATTCCTCAGCCCTCTGGACAACAGTTTTTGGTAATCCCGCACCTCCTCCTAACTTCCAAACTACGAATACTCTGCATTATATTCACACCACACATTGCTCTCAGACATGACATCTCCACTGCCTCCAGCCTTCTCCTCGCTGCAACATTCATCACCCATGCTTCACACCCATATAAGAACATTGGTAAAACTATACTCTCATACATTCCCCTCTTTGCCTCCAGGGACAAAGTTCTTTGTCTCCACAGACTCCTATGTGCACCGCTCACCCTTTTCCCCTCATCATTTTTATGATTCACCTCATCTTTCATAGACCCATCTGCTGACAATAATTGTATAAATAATGTCAGCCCATTCACGACTGCATATTTACTCTTTAACATAGCCAAAAGAATCGAACATTTCTCCTACATTGAGCTCAATTTCAAGGTACTTTTCGTCGTGAAAGCAATCAAAATCATATCTATTTCTGTAATATATCTTCCATTCTATCAAATGAGACCAAAAAAACAAAAATACAACCATAAAAACCATACAATAATACCGCTAAAGGGTGGCTAATTGCTGAGAAGTGAACTCCATTATTTATGCTTAGATTTCTTTCATTTTTGGTGTACGTTAAGAAGCATCTTTCCATCATACATTGCCCAAGTTTCAATAAGATAGTCCAACAAACAAATGAGATGCAATTCCCTAGATCAAGAGCAAGAGCCCCTCACCAGCGTCAAGTAACCTGCCTTGAGGTCTGCTCACTTATGGAAATTTTGATCACGTATGGAAGCAAAAAATCGACCCATCGACTGCCTGTATTTGGAAAAACTCGAACGTGGATGCGCTCGCAAATAGAGATTCCACTGTATATTTTTAAATGTTTGTACAGTAATGTACTGTATACTGTAATATACAGAATAGAGAAAATCAGCTCTAATATGCATTATTTAGGTATGCATACTGGCAGAGAGCCCATCATAAGTCTGAGTCATCGGTAAACGAGTACGTCACTAAGTGAGGAGAGGCTGTACTCAACTAACTGTGGAAGTCTTAACTTTAGTATAATACATGTATATTACATCAGAGAATTTTAACTTAATGTGGAAAAAAATTGGTCAGATGTTTGAGGTTAATTCTGAATACACAGATCTTAAATTTGCAAATGTTTTGCATAAATGCATTTTAACTTTTTCAGGGTCCAGAGGCCAAATTTCAAAGTGTGCACCAGTGTCTAAGAATTTTCAAAGAATAATTTTCTTATTTTTTCTTATGAAATGGTAGAGAATCTTTTTCTGAAGGTAATAAAACAAAAAGTATGAAATTTGATGGAAAATTGACGAAATTAGGCTCTTGCGAATTTTGATGTGTCAGCGATATTTACGTATCGGCAATTTTGCTGACTTTGACTCCCATTTTAGGCCAATTACAGTACTCCACTCAACCAAATTCTTAGCTATTTCACAAGTATTACTTCTATTCTATCGACTGAGCACAAGAAATCTCCAAGTCAACTGTTTCAACTACAAAATAATGTGATCAGAAATTGGTAATTTGGCCAATTTAATGCAAAGTTCAAAATATTCCAGTTTCAAAATAGGGTCCAAAATAAACAATGCAGACATTCCTGGCACTAAACTAACATTTCCTCTGTTCATTAGTTACATTTTCAGGCTTTACAAATGAATTCCATTTTTATTTTTTATTCGCATAACGAATTTTCATTCAAACCAAAAAATAGAAGATTTACTGTTATGCAATACAGTGGACCCCCGCTTAACGATCACCTCCCAATGCGACCAATTATGTAAGTGTATTTATGTAAGTGCGTTTGTACGTGTATGTTTGGGGGTCTGAAATGGACTAATCTACTTCACAATATTTCTTATGGGAACAAATTCTGTCAGTACTGGCACCTGAACATACTTCTGGAGTGAAAAAATATCGTTAACTGGGGGTCCACTGTATTGTAATAATTGTATAAATAATATCACCACACTTGTAAATGTATATTAGTCCCGCCAGCTGGCGTGTGTTAAACGTGTGAGGTCATTTGTTTACTCTTGAACATGAGCCAAAATTTAACATTTCTGCTATTTTGAGCTCAGTTTCAAGCCATTTCCAGTACTAAAACCAATCAAAATCATCTTTCTGTAATATATCTTCCATTCTATCCAACGAGACCAAGAAATTGCAAATACAAGTATAAAAAACATACAAAAAAAACACTGCAAAGTCGCTGTTTTAATCGAAAATTACGGTCTCAGTTTTTTTCTCTCATTATGCACTGCTGCAGGATTTGTTTTATGTGGTGCACACATACCACATAGATGTATTCTCTCATATCTAGGCCCAAATTTACCACTCACAGCTTATCAGAGTGAGCTGAAATCATGGCGTAGATCTACGGTTTGAACCCTCAATGTAAAGCCATAGATCTACGGCATGGACCCTGAAAGGGTTAAAATATGAATGTATAATAAATTTATAGATTTGTTAAAATACAGTGGACCCCCGGTTAACGATATTTTTTCACTCCAGAAGTATGTTCAGGTGCCAGTACTGACTGAATTTGTTCCCATAAGGAATATTGTGAAGTAGATTAGTCCATTTCAGACCCCCAAACATACACGTACAAACGCACTTACATAATTACACTTACATAATTGGTCGCATTCGGAGGTAATCGTTATGCGGGGGTCCACTGTATTGTGTTTTTAGGATAAATTACTTTTTATTGATATTTTCAGCAGCGGATATTCAGACTGCCCAGGATGAGAAATTAGCCATTGACCTGATGATGCTGATTTCGGAAGCCCTGTATTCCTGTATTCGTATAGATGATTCTCAAGATAATCCTGAAACTGCACGTTTGAGAACACAACAAGAGGTATGTATTTAACTTTATCTTGTTAAGATATAAAAGGAAAAATTTGTGTTTAAAGAGGAAAGTTCGTAAAATTACACTTGGTGTCATATACAGTGGACCCCCTCATAACGATCACCTCTGAATGCGACCAATTATGTAAGTGTATTTATGTAAGTGCGTTTCTACGTGTATGTTTGGGGGTCTGAAATGGACTAATCTACTTCACAATATTCCTTATGGGAACAAATTCGGTCAGTACTGGCACCTGAACATACTTCTGGAGTGAAAAAAATATCGTTAACCGGGGGTCCACTGTAAATGCATTTGTGAAATACTGTACATGATTTTATTCTCTTAGTATTATTTAGTAAATAGTGTGCTAAAAATATCTAACATAGACAGGACTCACAGCAATGGTTTTAAACTGGAAAAATTCAGATTCAGGAAGGATATAGGAAAGCACTGGTTTGGTAATAGATTTGTGGATGAGTGGAACAAACTCCCGAGTACCTTCATAGAAGGTAAGACATTGTGTAGTTTTAAAAATAGGCTGGATAAATACATGAGTGGGTGTGAGTTGGACCTGACTAGCTTGTGCTACTAGGTCGGATGCAGTGCTCCTACCTGGGTCTTTAGGTCAAGGTGTTGGCTTAAGCCGGTGGGAGAATTGGACCTGTCTCGCATAGGCCAGTAGGCCTGTTGCAGTGTTCCTTCTTTCTTATGTTCTAGCGTTGCCTTTTATTATATTCACACCTTTGTGTAGTGGTAGTGTGCATTAGAGAAGTTTACGGGTATGGGAGGGTGGGTGCAGGAGAAGACAGGAATGATTAGTGGAATGATAAGGTTAAGAGGATGGTAAGAAAGGAAAATTACCATAGTAGAGATTTTTATAATGTTGGAATGAAATATGGAAGGCAGAGTATATGGAGAGAAAAAGAGAGGTTAAAAGTGTGGAGAGAATAGGTGATTGTCTATCTGCTGAGAATAATAAAGTTTTGGAGAGCCAGATCAACCAGGTTGTGATAGGTATGTGAGACACAGGGCCATTAGCAGCAACAGCCTAGTTGACCAGACAAGCACCAGATGAGCCTGACCCATGGAGAGGCTCGGGGAGTAGCAAAACTCTCTGAACTCATAAATGATGTATCGAAGGAGGATTTAATTAGTAAAGCCTAACTATCAAATTGACTTTACAGTTATAAATAAAAGAGGGAAGATGTTAAATGATGAATTTAAGATGCTAGAAAGATGGAGGAAATAATTCAAGATGCTAGAAAGATGGAGGAAATAATTCAAGATGCTAGAAAGATGGAGGAAATAATTTTAAGTGATAAATGCTGATGGTAAGAGACAGTAATTTCATGGCTGAAGAACAAGTACAGGTAAAGACACTTGTGTATAGTTGAAGACATGAGGAACTGTTGACATGTACAGTGTATGAGTGAACTGTTGACATGTACAGTGTATGAGTGAACTGTTGACATGTACAGTGTATGAGTGAACTGTTGACATGTACAGTGTATGAGTGAACTGTTGACATGTACAGTGTATGAGTGAACTGTTGACATATACAGTGTATGAGTGAACTGTTGACATGTACAGTGTATGAGTGAAACTGTTGACATTGTACAGTGTATGAGTGAACTGTTGACATGTACAGTGTATGAGTGAACTGTTGACATGTACAGTGTATGAGTGAACTGTTGACATATACAGTGTATGAGTGAACTGTTGACATGTACAGTGTATGAGTGAACTGTTGACATGTACAGTGTATGAGTGAACTGTTGACATGTACAGTGTTTGAGTGAGATTAATGTTCCATGGTACAGCTTGGTGTCATGCTGGGTCTCTAGTAATGTTCCATGGTGCAGCTTGGTGTCATGCTGGGTCTCTAGTAATGTTCCATGGTACAGCTTGGTGTCATGCTGGGTCTCTAGTAATGTTCCATGGTACAGCTTGGTGTCATGCTAGGTCTCTAGTAGTGTTCCATGGTGCAGCTTAGTATCATGCTAGGTCTCTAGTAATGTTCCATGGTACAGCTTGGTGTCATGCTAGGTCTCTAGTAGTGTTCCATGGTACAGCTTAGTGTCATGCTGGGTCTCTAGTAATATTCCATTGTGCAGCTTGGTGTCATGCTAGGTTTCTAGTAATGTTCCATGGTACAGCTTGGTGTCATGCTGGGTCTCCAGTAATGTTCCATGGTGCAGCTTGGTGTCATGCTAGGTCTCTAGTAATGTTCCATGGTACAGCTTGGTGTCATGCTGGGTCTCTAGTAATGTTCCATGGTGCAGCTTGTGTTCATGCTAGGTCTCTAGTAATGTTCCATGGTACAGCTTGGTGTCATGCTGGGTCTCTAGTAATGTTCCATGGTGCAGCTTGGTGTCATGCTAGGTCTCTAGTAATGTTCCATGGTACAGCTTGGTGTCATGCTGGGTCTCTAGTAATGTTCCATGGTGCAGCTTGGTGTCATGCTGGGTCTCTAGTAATGTTCCATGGTACAGCTTGGTGTCATGCTGGGTCTCTAGTAATGTTCCATGGTACAGCTTGGTGTAATGCTGGGTCTCTAGCAATGTTCCATGGTGCAGCTTGGTGTCATGCTAGGTCTCTAGTAATGTTCCATGGCACAGCTTTGTGTCATGCTAGGTCCCTAGTAATGTTCCATGGTACAGCTTGGTGTCATGCTAGGTTTCTAGTAATGTTCCATGGTGCAGCTTGGTGTCATGCTGGGTCTCTAGTAATGTTCCATGGTACAGCTTGGTGTCATGCTAGGTCTCTAGTAATGTTCCATGGTACAGCTTGGTGTCATGCTAGGTCTCTAGTAATGTTCCATGGTACAGCTTGGTGTCATGCTAGGTCTCTAGTAATAGTCCATGGTACAGCTTGGTGTCATGCTAGGTCTCCAGTAATGTTCCATGGTGCAGCTTGGTGTCATGCTAGATCTCTCGTAATGTTCCATGGTACAGCTTGGTGTCATGCTAGGTCTCTAGTAATGTTCCATGGTACAGCTTGGTGTCATGCTGGGTCTCTAGTAATGTTCCATGATACAGCTTGGTGTCATGCTAGGTCTCAGTAATGTTCCATGGTGCAGCTTGTTGTCATGCTAGGTCTCTAGTAATGTTCCATGGTACAGCTTGGTGTCATGCTTTGTCTCAGTAATGTTCCATAGTACAGCTTGGTGTCATGCTAGGTCTCTAGTAATGTTCCATGGTACAGCTTGGTGTCATGCTAGGTCTCTAGTAATGTTCCGTGGTACAGCTTGGTGTCATGCTAGGTCTCTAGTAGTGTTCCATGGTACAGCTTGGTGTCATGCTAGGTCTCTAGTAATGTTCCATGGTGCAGCTTGGTGTCATGCTGGGTCTCTAGTAATGTTCCATGGTGCAGCTTGGTGTCATGCTAGGTCTCTAGTAATGTTCCATGGTGCAGCTTGGTGTCATGCTGGATCTCTAGTAGTGTTCCATGGTACAGCTTGGTGTCATGCTAGGTCTCTAGTAGTGTTCCATGGTACAGCTTGGTGTCATGCTAGGTCTCTAGTAGTGTTCCATGGTGCAGCTTGGTGTCATGCTAGGTCTCTAGTAATGTTCCATGGTACAGCTTGGTGTCATGCTGGATCTCTAGTAATGTTCCATGGTACAGCTTGGTGTCATGCTAGGTCTCTAGTAGTGTTCCTATGGTGCAGCTTTGGTGTCATGCTAGGTCTCTAGTAATGTTCCATGGTACAGCTTGGTGTCATGCTAGGTCTCTAATAATGTTCCATGGTACAGCTTGGTGTCATGCTGGGTCTTTAGTAATGTTCGATGGTACAGCTTGGTGTCATGCTAGGTCTCTTGTAGTGTTCCATGGTACAGCTTAGTGTCATGCTGGGTCTCTAGTAATATTCCATGGTGCAGCTTGGTGTCATGCTAGGTTTCTAGTAATGTTCCATGGTACAGCTTGGTGTCATGCTGGGTCTCTAGTAATGTTCCATGTTGCAGCTTGGTGTCATGCTAGGTCTCTAGTAATGTTCCATGGTACAGCTTGGTGTCATGCTGGGTCTCTAGTAATGTTCCATGGTGCAGGTTGGTGTCATGCTGGGTCTCTAGTAATGTTCCAGGGTACAACTTTGTGTCATGCTGGGTAAGTAAGTAAGTAAGTAAGTAAGTTTATTTAGGTATACACAAATACAGTTACATAGAATTATCATACATAGCAGCATATGTGTAGAGAACGGTCTCTAGTAATGTTCCATGGTGCAGCTTGATGTCATGCTGGGTCTCTAGTAATGTTCCATGGTACATCTTGGTGTCATGCTGTGTCTCTAGTAATGTTCCATGGTGCAGCTTGGTGTCATGCTAGGTCTCTAGTAATGTTCCATGGTACAGCTTGGTGTCATGCTGGGTCTCTAGTAATGTTCCATGGTGCAGCTTGGTGTCATGCTGGGTCTCTAGTAATGTTCCATGGTACAGCTTGGTGTCATGCTGGGTCTCTAGTAATGTTCCATGGTGCAGCTTGGTGTCATGCTAGGTCTCTAGTAATGTTCCATGGTGCAGCTTGGTGTCATGCTAGGTCTCTAGTAATGTTCCATGGTACAGCTTGGTGTCATGCTGGGTCTCTAGTAATGTTCCATGGTACAGCTTGGTGTCATGCTGGGTCTCTAGTAATGTTCCATGGTACAGCTTGGTGTCATGCTGGGTCTCTAGCAATGTTCCATGGTGCAGCTTGGTGTCATGATAGGTCTCTAGTAATGTTCCATGGTACAGCTTGGTGTCATGCTAGGTCTCTAGTAATGTTCTGTGGTACAGCCTGGTGTCATGCTAGGTCTCTAGTAATGTTCCATGGTACAGCTTGGTGTCATGCTAGGTCTCTAGTAATGTTCCATGGTACAGCTTGGTGTCATGCTAGGTCTCTAGTAATGTTCCATGGTGCAGCTTGGTGTCATGCTGGGTCTCTAGTAATGTTCCATGGTGCAGCTTGGTGTCATGCTGGGTCTCTAGTAATGTTCTGTGGTGCAGCTTGGTATCATGCTGGGTCTCTAGTAATGT